AAAAAAATCTGTCATAGGACTAGATTAGAACTGAAGAATAATGTAACTGATTTGTAGCAAGTTCAGGACAGGCAAAAGAAAGCACACTTATAGACTGAGTGCACCAGATGAAATTCACTGTTACAAGATATGAAGGCCACTAGACAAGATAGCTTTAAAAAGGATTTGACAAATGCATGGTCTAACAACTTTCATGGTCTATCAACAGGCATTAGCCATCATGGATAAATGGGATTCCATTTTTAATAACAGTGCATTGGTAAATACATGTTTCATTTACAGAAGAAACCCAGGGATTTACTACTGTTGTCATTGTTTAAAAAGATGTGTTTGGTGACACGCAACTGGCAAAACTGCTTTTTCAGGACTACTGACTGTGTGCAGCCTTCCCATACATTTACATACACATTGGAGGCATATACACCCATATAGGTATTCAGTTTATGATGAGCAGAATTTGCCACTACCCTTGTGGTTTTTGTATATATGCACAAAAAGCTTCAATGACAGAAAAGGGCACAGATGAAAACTTCATCTAATCCAGCAGGGATCACATATATTTTGGCAGAGTCTACTTCTTTTCTCTAATACTGAACTTGGATGGTTTGAGAACATTATCAGTTTACCAGCAAATAAAGGACACCCCAAACAAAGTAGTAGTTTCTGCATACTTGAGAGATTTTCTAAGCTCTTAGAATTTTATTTCCAAGTTAAAATAATGACTGGAATTGCTCCAAGGATTCTGGGTTCATTGTATTCTAGATTATTCAGAATAGTGATATCAGATAAACCATAAAATATTTAAAAGACCTGGCAGAAAAGAGATAAAATGGAGTTGGGGCAGGTGTCCTGCTTGAGTCCCTAACCACATACGGCAAGACGTTTACATTCTGAAGGGTAGCAACATTTCCCTTTCACTTTGCTGTAAGAGTTGGTTTAACAAGGAAGTGAAAGGTATGGAACCGTGTGTAGCAATAAAGGTTTTACTTTCATTTTGTGCTAGTCTGAATCAGATTTCTTTGGTGCTCTATGGCACAGTGGGGTGCAATTTCAGGAAAATTAAAAGAAAAGAGAATGCTGCCTTTTCTTTTCTCCATCCTGTACATCCCCTCCAAACCCAATCAGTACTTACTAGCCTGACAGGAGCAAGTAAAGAGATGGCCAGGAGAAGAAAGTGGATCTCATTCTTCCAAATTTCCATCAACATATAGTGAAGATCCAGGAGGGCAACCTTAGCTCTCTTTTCCTGGCTGCCACCTGCAAGGAGTGCTGCCTGGGGAATTCCCTTTCTCCCTTCCTTTACAAGTCAGCACACAGTCGTGCGAATGCTTTTGGACATTTGAAAGTTGTATTCCAGAGATGGGGAAAATGCGGAACCTCATGAGATGGGTATCATGGTCTGGCAGCTAGATGTAAGCTTGTGGGTTCTTTTACACTTTTGGGTGTATTTCTCAAATCCCAAGGATACTAACACTAAAACATTCCTTAATGATTCAAACAGCTCTGTATCTATTCACACTTCCTTTCAATTTAGTACACACACACACACACACACACACACACACACACACACACACACATATAGATGTGCTGCACCACATCTCTCCTTTTCAAGTGTCTGTGTTTGTGTGGTTGCATAAATTGTCAGTTTTTTTTAAAAAAAAACCACAACATTTGTATAGCTGCAGTAAATAGGAAGCAAATTTGTTACCTTTAAAGTGGTAAAGATAGCAAAAATGGAATTGCTATACATTTGATCTTCTTCCTTCATTAATTGACTGCCAGATCTATAGATGGAAAAGAGATTGAACGCTACTGCAATATAAAGAAGATACTGGTATGATACTTTCCAAAACAGTTTGACATGTTGGAAGGAGTTTGCTAGTAAAACTCTGTATCTACTCAACTAGAATTAAGCATTCCCATTGGTGTGAAAAGTTGTATCTAGCACTCAGTGAAACTATATGTACATCATGGTGCAAATGAAGGCACCTGAAAATTACATTCCTAGTTTCCAATAATACATTATGATTACACTCTAACCATAATTGAGTATTCACTGTTTAACTGCCTTGAATCCTATCTTTCTCCAAAGATGGGATAGAAATTCAATAAATAAAAAATAAAAATAGAAGTACAACTCTCAGGTGATAGCTCAGAAACTGGATATGTTAGAAAATAAGAGAATTGGTGTATGAATTAAATACTAATCAAGAGTTTATATCCCAGAGTGACTTGCAGAAGTTTTGAGGTACAAATCTTGGAGGAGGCACAAAAGTTGAATAAACAAATAGAAACTGACACTTTTTTTTTTTGCACAAATCTTTGCTGTGATATGCTTAAATAAGCAGAAATCACTTAAATAGTTTCTGGAAGGTCTAGAATTTGTTGGAGAAAATATTATAAATGATTTTGTGCAAAAATAACCTTTTTTTTTTCATGGGATCAGTGAGGTTTTATGCACACACAAAAAGTGTTTCTAGAGAGTCCTGGAAATGGAGATAAAATGGAATGTGACAAATCTTTTCTTTATTTTGGACAATCAGTTTGTGGAACCTGAATCTGATCATAGCTGTTCTTGTAACCAAAAAAAAAAAAAGAGAGAGAGAGATGGACTTACAGATGTTTGAGTAATTTGATATTTTGTGATTTTCTATTTGAAATAGCCTTATTCACAACTCTTGGATAACATTAATGTGGTATTAGAAACATATTTTGTATTTGTAGATGCATGAAATTTAACTCTCTACCAGGTTCCATGCAAATCAAAATATGTAGGGCAGTTTCCTGCAGTTTAAACATGCCAGCATACACATATAAACATCATTCAAAAGAAGACTACATATTTCTCTACTACATAACTTGAGAAGACTGATTTTGTAAAAATGCAAATTAACAGTGGAATGAAATTATGGATGCTAATACAGAGAAGTGACACAAATCGAAGGAAGGATCCGTCTCCTCTTTTTTCAGGTGCACTGCAAAAAACAACTCCCATTATGTCTTCTCTTTCCAGGGTAGTGTGATAGCAAATAGAAAGGTTAACACCCAGACTGTCACCTTTCATTTCTCTCCTAAACTTTCTGTAATTCATTCACATTTGCAACAAAGTGAACTTCATGCTAAATGCTAGAAATCCAGAGGTTCCATCTAAGCGCAAACTCCCCCACTTATTTTTATATAACTAAATATTTAGAAAATAAAATTTTATGGTTTTTTGTGGTTTTTTTGGGGCTATGTGGCCATGTTCTAGAAGAGTTTATTTCTGACGTTTTGCCAGCATCTGTGGCTGGCATCTTCAGATTCCACTTTCCTATACTGAATGTATGGGCAGTGCTAGACTATGGCAGAACAGCTTGGAAAAAAGTCAATAGCCCACCGGTGGACCACTAACCAGTGGTTAATTGAATACAACTAAATGCCTATAAGGACTTAAATACCCTAAAGCAGGGATAGGCAACCTTTCCCCTTTAAGGGCCGAGGGACTTCATCTCCCAGAATCCCAGGAGCTA